ATTCACATGACCAGAGAAGTGGAGAAGATCATGAAGATTTGAATATAAAAAGAGAACGGGGTCGCTGTGGGTGGTGAAGACAAATGGGGGGTCATCACTCTAAGACTGGAATAGACTTTTCTCCATAGGTGGTGAAAAGAATGCCTTAGTTCTAAGCCCAAATGTTATTTTTTTTAAGCATTCTTGTTTTTCCCCTGGTAGTTAAGGGATCGTTTGTAGACAGTGTTCTAAAAGCTCTGATGTGCAGGTAAGAAAGACAAAAAACTCGTCTATTGTTATTTCAGAGGAATCAAGGTACTAAATTAGAGCCTCTCTCTTGTCTTGTTCTAGTACCAGGATTTCTCACCAGTTGATTGGCATTTGGAGAATAAAGGTTTGCTTTAGATTACAGTGTATATCTTCCTGAGGAAACATGGTGCATGTCAATGAACAGCATCACATAATCACCAATTCGATCATGTTCTTTGACCAAAGGACGAGGAAATGACCATTTTGGCCACTCTGGGTGAGAGGCTAGAAGACAGGACCCATATGTTGTGATGACTCCAAGAGATAACCCACCTTTAATTAGATCCACTACATGGAAATAAACAAAGAAAACAGAGACTAGGAAAATGCTTAACCAGAAAGAACTAAGCACCTTCAAATAACATATGTAGCCTCCTAGAAAGGTTGCTTAGTCTCATACAAATTAATATTTGGGACTTGAATAATGTGAGTTTTAGACTTAGAGTGATTGAGCAGAGTCCTTGTGGAACAACAGGCAGATGTTTGGGGACAGTGATTCTTTTCAATGTTAGTAACATTTGTATTTGTAAAGCACTGTACAAACTTGGAAACGCTTTCACACATATATTCTCATAACAGAACTTGGAAAGTAAGAAAAAGCACCAAGAAGAAAAGACATGCTCGGCTTTGATGCAAAATCTGAGATAACCAATATTCATCTTTTGGTGTGGAAACAAATATTGATAAAAATGAGATGCCAAAAGTTAGCGCTCCACAGGCAAACCATTGCAAGGGAACTCTTCCAGTTATTATTTCCCCAAGGTTTTCCAGCGTGTATGTATTTCTATACCAACAGACACATTATTATCACTTAGTATATTAAACATTTTGCATATTGATAAATATTCTTGTATAACATCATTTCAATTAAATAAAAATATTTCATTGTAGGGATGCACTATATAATTTATCCAGCTTCCTCTAGTTCTTTCTAGTATGCCATTATAATAAATAAAGCTATAACTCAGACCTTTATATGTAAACTTTTATACATAGCTATGATAATTATCTTAGGATCAGTTCCTAAATGTGAAATTCATAAGTCAAAGGATAGTTATACTTTTTAGAAGTTGGATACTCATTGATACATTTATTTCCTGCAAGATTACCATTAAGACATTGAAATGGTGCAAACCCTTGAGTTTCAGAGTATGACTTTGGCGACTTTGGCATTCATTTCCATCCTTGTCACTCAACTTATCTTCTGCTTCTTTTTCTAAATATTTTGTTCCCTAACATTCAATTTTTTGTTTGTTTGTTTTTTTGTCTTTTTCTTGGTCAATTTCTCACTTACTGGCACTTTTAATTAACACCAGAGGCTAATGACTCCAGGATTAGTATCTCCAGCTTCTCCTCTTCTGATGCTATTTCAGTTGTAATATGTGTCAATTTGAAGTAGGTATAGCTTCCCTCACATCACCCCTACCCAAATCAGAAACTTAAGTGTTAGTCTCAGTAGGGATGAGAGAAGGCACACACCATCTCTACAAGAATAAATAATTCTTTTGGAGAACTACCATGATTTTTGGTAAACAAGATTCTCATTTATTTCACTGGCAAACAGCCTAAGGTTTGTTTTTCTCACCATCAGCCTCTCAATCTGTCTCTTGTTTCTCTCACTCACAGCTTGTTCCCTTCTTGCCCTGAACTCTCCCCTCAGCTGCTCCCTACTTCCCAGAGAGGTTAGGCAGGGCCTCTAGTCGTCAAAAAGTTGACAAAGGCAGTTGTGCCTCCTGCTTAGGGGTGGACCACAGCAAAGCAAAGCAGACCCTGCCATTCTAATGGTGGTCTGTCTGGCTAGTCAGCAGATTATACCTCTAGAACTCTCTAAAGTTCACTTTTTTATCTATGCTCTGGGGCACTGCTGGTTCCAGTTTTATCCTTTGGGAGGGGGGAAAACTATCACTTTGTTCTTTTGGAAGATATCTGTGATGGATGTTTGTTATTGTCTGGCTTCCGTTGAGTCAGACTCTCTTCTTTCTTTTCTGAGACTTCTCTGATGGGGAAAAATCCAAGAAGTACCTATCTCATGGTATTGTGTTTAATAAATGTATGAGATAATGCACATGAAGGGAGGACCATCACCCCACCCCACAAGAACAACTGGGGATTGTTAGTTTATAAGCGTCATTGGCATCATCTTCTGAAAAACCCACTTTAAAGGGTCTAAAGATGCTTCTGATTTTCTAGGTGGGACCAGTTGCTCACTTCTCTGTCGTGTTTTGCAATTCTTTACTCGGACACATAAAGTGTCTTAAGCATGTCTCTCTCTACTGGACTGTGAATTCCTCAAGGGTAGTATTGTTTGAATTCATTTTTATACCCTCAACACCCAGCAATGTGACTGACACACAGGAGGTGATAAATAAATTTATGTTGGGAGAGGACAATGGATGAATGATTTATGTCTATGTTTGTGTTTGCGATTTTTTTTTCCTATCAAATTTTGTAATTGTCAAAAATCAGTTCATATTTCACCTTACTAGTCAGCTAAAAGAGAAAAAAAATCACGTAATTTGAAAACACATAATTAAAAGACATAGTTAAAATATAACATGATCATGTATATAAAAAAATTCCAAACCACTACAGATAAGATTTAAAATTAGTAACTGAATTAGTGTGATTGATGTATGCTAATTCAATATACAAAAATCAGTTATATTTCCATATACCATTGAAAGCACTAGAATATAAAACCATAGCACTTATAACAACATGTACTTCTTAAACACCAGGTATAAAGATAACAAATTATATGTAAGACCTCTGCATGGAATAGTATAAAGCTTTACTAAGATAAATTTTAAGAGTCCTAAATAAATTGAGGGATGTTTATGGATTGAAAGATTTGATTTTATAAAGGAGTCAGTTTGCTCCCAAATGGATAAGTTCACTAGAACCCTAAAAAAAAATCTTAACAGTTTGTGTGTGTGTTTAATCTTCACATTAATTCTAAAATTAATGTGGAAATGCCAAGGAACAAAAATGGTCAAAATAATCTTAAAGAAGAAGGACAAAATTGGAGGACTACTGGGTACCAAATTGTTATAGGACTGTATTGATGAAGGCACAATGGCACTGTGCTCCATGAAGTGAGATTGAAGGTCCAGAAACAGATCCAAACATACAGATACTTAGTTTACTTTTTATAAAGTGGTACTGTGGGTGGTATTCCTCACTTACTCCCAAATGAGGCTAAGTTAATTGCTACCCATTTTTTAAAATAAATCTTAGTATGCTACCCATTTTTTAAAATAAATCTTAGCATGCTGTACTCAAAAGTCATTCTCTTTGCACTGTAAATCTAAGTGTGATATTTAAAACAATAAAGATTCTAGGAAGAGAATAAGAGAATATTTTATGAGCTAGGAGTAGGGAAAGATTCTTGAATAAGACAGAAAAATGTACTAAAAAATAAGTTGACATTGGTGTAAAGTATAAACAACATCTGGAAAATGAATTTCTCAGAGGAAAATTTAAAAATCCATATAAAATTAAATGTGTAAATTCACTTGCAATTTCAAATTTTCAAAAATGCATAGTTTTTAACTTCTACCATGAATATTTGAAAATGTAAAATATCTTTTTATCTCAATAACCATGACCCAAAACCTTGATATCCTGAGTTTTTTGTTTGTTTGTTTGTTTTGTTTTTTGCCAGTTTGGGCATGAGAGATCTTACAAATTCTCATTGAAATCAGTCATATTAATTCATTTAGACTTTTGTAGTAGCTCTTATAAAGCAGGTCAAATGTGAACACCTGGGAACCTCCCGGGTGGCATAGGGGTTAAGGCTCAGTGCTATCAAGCTGTGATCACTTTGGCTTGAGTATGATCCCGGGGTGGGGGGGTGTGGTGGGTGGGGGGGGGAGTTGTGTGACTCATATGGTGCAGCAGGCCTCTCCTCCTCTCCTCTCTTGCTGGCTGCTCCCTTTAGCAGTATATTTCAGTAAATCTGCCTGTTCTGCTCCCCAATTTGTCTCTAGTGAATCCTCCTTTTCTTTCTCTCTCTCTCACACCCTGCACGTCTGGCTGCACTCTAGTTATTCTATGCATAAATAAATAAATAAATTTTCAAATGTGAACACTTGGTGGTAATATTATGTGGAGCATGGTACTAAGTGTTTGATGCTGATAGTTATACCTTTGCATAGGTCTAATAGGTTATATTCTGAAAGTCTGTTCTACAAAAGATCCTCACACCTCTATATTTATCTTCTGCAACTTCAATCTTTTGTATATGATTCTGCAACATGCAGAATATATTATTAGTGGTAAAATATAAAGTATTAAAATTCATATGGTAGCATGATAGGTTTAAGTACTGTTACTCAAAGATGTGTACAATCAAAAGAGAAATATTGACTACTGGTTTAATTTAAATGGTTTAATTAAATGTTTAGGTTACTCAGAGCAGAAACTATTGCCAGAACTCAATCAATCACAATTTTGGGATTGTGACCAAGACAACTTTATATTCATTGGGGAAACTAATGTTGATTTGGGGATTTTTGGTTGTTCATATTTGATTGAATTCCTTGGCTTGTTCATTATTAACTTTTAAGTAAAAAGGGACAGGCGAGTGTGTGCAATTATCAAAGATGATAATATGTTTTTTAAAAGTTTATCTATTATGGAGAGTTGTAAGCTATAAGCCAGGAATGGGTTGATAATATTTTATTTTAATTAACTGCTTTCTTGCATTGTAGGCTGACCAGATATCTGGTTTTCACATAAGATCTGTTCTCTGCGTCCCAATTTGGAATAGTGGCCACCAAATAATTGGTAAGATGTTACCTAGCAAGTTTAAAATTCTTTTATAAAGAAATACAAATTTCATTAAAATCATCCATGTCTTTTTTTATGTGTTTTCTCATTTTATGACCCAGAACTTGTCAACTCATGTCTCTTATATAATCTCATAAGTATAGTCTCCTGAGTTGACCTTAATTAGAACAACGAACAAATATTTATTCCTTTAAATAATAACCAGTAATTTTGAGGTTGGAGGAAATCTCAGAAATCAATTAACAGAAATTTATTTTCTTTTTATTTTTTTGTTTCAGACACTCCACTTTATTCACTGTCCTTTTTTCTCTTTTCTAATCTTTTATAACAGATTTTCTGATCTTACCTTATGGAAATTAAGGCTGAGAGTAAAGACTTGAAAAAGGTCACAAAGGGAATTGATAGCAGGATTGGGACTAAAACTCAGGCATCTCTGCTCCATGTACAATTTTTTTCTACTCTATCTATATGTTTACATTTATGCTTTTACACAAATGCAAGAGGAAAAACTGAATTATTAGACATACACATCTTTCTGCCTGGATGGGTGTGAAGTAATCTACACTCCTGAGAATAAAGTAATTGTGGGTAGGAGCAGCTCCAATTTTTCTCTCTCTTCCTGATCCTCTCCTTATCTCCAGAAACTCAGGAAAATATTAAAACTAAGAATGAAGTCCAGACAAGAAAGTTCAAGGGTAAACTAGAGAAGACATGAAGGATGCAGGCAATAGTTTAAATTAGTGAAACCAATGGAAATGTGATTTTTCCCCCTAAGAAACATAAGATAACTAATGCATGTCTTTGCTCTTTTGTTCCCCCTAAGGCTGTCTGTGAAACTCTAAGGCACTGCTACTTACTACAGGGCTTAGTGTTCTGTGAAGTCGACAATACCTCAATTTTAAGACTTTTTTCAACAGATTTCTTAATTTGCAGAAAAATAGTGGTGCCTGATTGAACATGAAGAATGTTCTAAGACTTGGGATTTGAGCCCCTAATATAAAGCATTAAATTGTATCACATACAGAGTTGTAGTCACATTTGAAAGAGAAAGCCTGTAAGAAACAACATGGATGATCTGTTGGTATCCAACATAATCTCACATATAGCCCTGTGTTTCATTCCTAATAGTAAACGTTTGTTACTGTTTCAAAATTCAGACTGCTATTTGCCTGTTACATGCTAAAGAGTTGTTTTATATTGCATGTCTCTGTGTCTCTCATAGTATTTGATGACTTACCTCTCTAGTGGGGTGGGGGAGGGTTGAGTTAAATGTGGATACAGAATGGTTTTCAAGATTGTTGAGGGGTTGTTTTTTTTTGTTGTTGCTGTTTTGTTTTGTTTTGCTTAGATTTGTGTATTTTGATAATCATAACCCAAGACATGTTATAATGCTGGAAATGAACCTTAGAAAGAGGAAAATAGATGTATGTTAAGTTTGTTAGACTATATGACCCTACCTAGAGAGCACAGCAGAACTCACCTTGCATTGAAGGCTCACTGTTAACCTACAGTAACATTTAGTTACTGTAATTACTAACTTTTCTGGAATGTTCATTCTGTGTGGAACAATGTTTTACATTCAATTTTGCTTCATTTAATCTTCATCATTCTCCTAGATAGTTAACACTTGAGTTTCCATTTTACAGATGATGAATTCCAGTACTAAAAAGGTTAAGTAACTTGCTCAAGGTTACTGATGGTAGAGTTGACATTTTAATTGAGACCATCTAACTCCAGTACCTGTGTTCTCAATCCTGACGCATAGTACCTACTCAAACATTGTGCTTTGAGGGAATAAAAAAAAAAGAAAGAAAAGAAAATCTTTACACACCTCTATACATAGTTGTATGTACAATAACAAATATGTGTCTGTGTGTATGAATATATGCCAGATGACTGATAAATTATCATACTCAGCCATCTTGAAAACCATTTTCAGAGAATCAGACTGATGCCTCATAGAACTCCAGGCTGCTGAGATCCAGTCTGAGATCTCTGTGTTGCAGGCAGACTGTATCACTGTGCACTAGACAGAGAAAAGGTCACTCTACAGTGACTTCCAGGAGGCCCAGAACCAGCTGGGGCTTGCCATATTGTAGTAAGCCTGTCCAGTGTTGAAAATGACCACATATCCCAAATTCTTCCCACAGGAGTGGCTCAGGTGTTAAATAGACTTGATGGGAAGCCTTTTGATGATGCAGATCAAAGACTTTTTGAGGTAAGAAAATCAATTAGTGAACCTCAGTTGTCTCCTGGTTTTAGTTTGCCCATATTTATAAGAATAAATAATTATGAATCAATGGTTGTACTTAAAGCACTACCACAATGCTTAGGTAAGATTTGATTCTCTATTATTAGTTGTTCTCTCCAGAGTGTTAACAGCCTTACCCTTGTCTTGTTCACATGTGTTCAGAAATCTCAGCCAGCGCTGCCAGCTGTGTGACCGTCGACCTGCTAATGCTTGGTAGTTGTGTCAGGCTGTCCTCTCTCTGGAGAGGTTCACTTCTGAAGGCTTTCGGGTAGACAATCCCAGTTGGCCACACAAAACCTCATGGTTATTCTCCTCCAGAATAGAAGCCTTTGCAACTCCTACACTAATTTCTTTACTAACTAGTACTAACTGATTCGAAAGCAATCTTCCTGCCCACCAGCAGCTACCTTATGGGTATACTCACTTGGTTTCTTTACACAAATATTTTATAGCCTTGCAAATGAGTGAGGTTGCTTTTGGGTAAATAGAATGAAATCACTAAAATCACCAAACCCAAAGAAGTAAGGAACACATTTAAAACAGCCTTTATGTATATTTTTAAATATGTAGAAATGTTTCTTCACAAATTAAAATGTTTGCTCTCATGCAATTTGAACTATGAAGTTGTCATAAGGCTTTATTAATTAAGAATTTTAATGGGCATATTTCCCTAAGACCCACCTTTTTGTCCTATAAAATTATACTTTCAGTTCCATCTCTGATGACAACCTGCTTTCATATTAAGTGTGTCAATGAGTTATTGCAATATTTTAATTAGCAGGCTTGTTCTTCCCTAGGCTTTTGTCATCTTTTGTGGCCTTGGCATCAACAACACAATCATGTACGATCAAGTGAAGAAGAGCTGGGCCAAGCAGTCCGTGGCTCTCGATGTAAGTGCAGTATTTGTCATTACTGTGAGCTGAAAAGTCCTAATTTCGTGACGATAAAAAGTCCTTGTTGTGGGGCTGACTTGCTCGATTTTTAATTATCTATTCATTGAATCTTAATCATTTTAGAGTCATGGGCTTGAATTTGATGAGAACCTCTCTGGAAAAACAAACGTATGCCCATAATTTTGCATATAATTTCAGGGAACATAGACTTGTTGAAGCCATCCATATAAATTGTAGAGTTCGATGCCGATTTTACATGCTTGGTTTATTAAAAGTGATGATCCACGAATAATTTGTCAGAATTTTAAACAAATTATGGACTTATTTTGAATATGCATTAGATATTCTAGAAAGTTAAGACTTTTCTTAGCATAGGAGAAACCGCACTATATGAAGACATGTGACCCAGATAGGGAAGCCAGCTGCCCTCCCCTCCCCCCCCCCGCTGCCAGTGCGTATAGTGCCTCCCCTCAGACCTTGTGAGTCCTACAAAACAGTTCCCATTCCCCTGAATCCTAAAAACTAAAAATCCTTTTATTTGTTTATTTTAAAGTTTTATTTATGCATACAGAACTGGGATATAGGCCAGAAGTGCAGGGGCAGTGAGAGGATTCATTAGAGATAGAGTGGAGAGCAGAACAGGTAGATCTACTGCTGAGGGGAGCAGCAGGGGAAAGGAGAGGGTGCCACCGTGGGTCACCTCCCTACCTGGGTATCAAACTTGTGCTGAAAGGGCTGCTGCTAGCTTTGTAGGGCTATGTTTTAACACATTGCATTACCGGGGAGGGGCCTTGAATCCTAGCTTTTCCCCAACTTCTACTCTATGGCTATTACCACAATTTTTATTTATATCTATGAAATACTTACCCAGTGGGGCAGAAAGACTGTCACTACATGAAGCATTATAAAGGAAAGTATAATACCTGCACAATTCTCACTGTTCTGTGTACTAAGTGAGACAGTGTTAGAAAAGGAAAACCAGGGAGAGGATAAGAAGGCAAGTCAGTGGTATCTGCTGAGGTTTAAACCACAGAAAATTATAGTTCCTTGTTTGATGCTTCCCCCCTAAACTAAACTGTGAATTCTGGAAGCACAGGGATTTTTATCTTATTTGCAGCCTTATTCACAGTACCAACTAGGTGTTTATCACAAAGCATGTTTTTAGATGGGTGGAGAGATAGGGAAAAAAGAAAGGCAAATATGGACGGGATTGTTTTGTTCTCCATCTGAAACAGTCCTGTTTTATTTGTATCATCTTTACTAAAAACAATACTCTAGGATGAATTAATAGGTGAATGCAAACATGCAGCCAACCAGTAAGAGTTACCAGTAGAGCTTTAAGGTCCATGTGCAGAAACATTTTCTTTTATTTTTTAAAAATTTATTTATGCATGTAAGAGTTGGGGTGTAGGCTAAAGTTGTGGAAGGGGTGGTCAGAGGACTCAGCAGAGACAGAGTGGGGAGCAGAACAGGCAGAACTACTGAAATACACTGCTGAGGGAAGCAGTGGGCAGGACAGGAGAGTTATTCTGTGCCATGCTGCTCCCTGGCTGGGGTTCGAACTTGCACTGCAGTGGTTGCAGATAGCTTCATAGTGCTGAGCCTTAACCCCTTGCATGCCCAGGGAAACCCCAGAACCATTTTGAAATCTGACTCTTCTATCCACCTCAATTGTATGTATTAAATGAGATAATGCCCGTGAAGATTTTAATATGCAGTCAATAAAATTGTAGTAAGAACAATAACATCTGTGTTACTGCTTGTAGTAGTACATATATTACTAAGAAATCACCATAGATTGAAGGAAGAACACGAATTTGGAAGAACAAGTGTTGAGTCACACCTCATCAAGCTCTGGTCTTTACAGACTTATCTCACCTACTGACTCTTAGTATTTGCAACTATAAAAGGAAATACACACTATGCCCCAGTACCTAAACTTTATTTCACACTGTCAGAGTATAATTCACATAATACTCATATTCTCACTACTTTACTTCCCACTGGCTCCTCATTCTTTTGAGAAGGGGCTGCACTAACTGGGTTGAAGCATGAATGGTAGTTTTCCTAGGAAAGGTGTCTCAGGTACCAGTTCCTAATTCCTTCCCCACCCCAAGGACCCATTTTCCATCCCCTAGTGTTAACGTAGCCCCACTCCCCTCAGCCACCTCAGTTCATAGTGAACTTCATCTGGTTGGTGTAAAGACAGATGCTGTCTATCCTTAAATGCAAAATTTGTGACTGACATGCCCCAGTTTCCAGGTCCAGATGAGAACTGTGGCCATCTCACCCTTCCAGAAGTTGGCTTATATGTCCTGTGTGGTTGCTTTGGTGCTGGTGTTGAACTTGGTAATCACAGTTGAGATTCTGCTGTTGTCTCTTCCAGTCTCAGTTACCCTGTACCCAACTAGACTCAACCCGGTCTTCCTCACTCTGCTGACTACATGGTGCCTACCCCATGACCCCATGTGGGCCATAGGCAAGAATATCTGGGAGGATTTCCTGGCTCAGGAGTTTATGAAGACAAGCATGATTTGTTGAGAGAGAGCTACTAAACCCAAACTCTGGAATGAGATCTACAAATGTTATAGCAATCATTAACTTTGGAATATAGATATTCTCAATTTATGTATATGTAGGCATTCTACATGAGCATGAACAAATGTAATATTTATATATTTCTATTAAAATTATATGGAAAGTATTTATATTTATGTATTTATAACCAGCCTAGTCCAATAATAATTTCAGCTACTCTATAGGAATATAGCTAGCAAATTTTCAGCAAGAGAAAGCAATATTAATAACAGTAATAATAGATCTATGAGGGAGGAAGTCAGGGTGAGGCTGGGAAGGAGAACAGAACCCCATACAGTGCTTTGCTTTCATCATCTCATCCCTCTCCCCAAGGATAACCTTGATAACCCCCCCTCCTTCTCCACTGAGGATTAGGAAAGAGCCCTTCACTTACATCTGACCCAATTCCTCATCTTGTATTATCTCATTTTTGCTTACTATCTTCAGCTTTTATCCTACTTGATCTCGTCCCAAGAAGATCTATGTCTCAATGTGTCTTTTTTGTAATCTCATTACAGGGTCTTTTTTCCAGTTGGTAACAAGAGTGGGGGGAATAATCCGTCCCATAATCCCAACTGACAACCACCCTAGAGGGCTTTCCCACCGAGGAAAGGGGAAGCACATAATTCATAGGCCTGGAGAGGTGACATGGACACATTTGTTCAGCAGTTCCACAAGACCTTTGAAAAACAACACAACATTTCTTCTACGTTTAAAAAAAAATTCTTTGTCCCCAAGGTATTTTAAATAAATATACATACTTTGCACATCCTCTGGAAGTAAGTATTCTCCAGATAATACTCTGAGGTGGCTAACTCCCACAAATACTCACCAAAATGCTCAGAGTTCATAGGAAGTATTTTTATTTGATACTTTATATTTTTTTGTTTTTATTTATTTATTTATTTTACATCATTCTTCATTTTGTGCATTTTTTTTTATCTCGGTTGTAATCCCCGTGGAGTTCCCACCACCAATTTACCCATAGACCAACACCATAGTCCCTTGCACTCTTCCCACCCCAGTTTTGATTCTCATCCCCTTTGCACCCCGCCCCCATAAAATGTCACTGGCCTATAGTTGTTCGTTTTTCATTTTTACTTTATTACAATTGCTTTTTTTTTTCCCCTGATGCCTTACATTCCTGCTATGAGTGAAACCATCTGGTATTTTTCTTTTTCTTTTTCTTTCTGGCTTATTTCACTAAGCATGATCCCTTCCAGTCCATCCATGTTGCTGCAAAAGGCATGAGTTTATCTTTTTTAATTGCTGAGTAATATTCCATTGTGTATATGTAGCACATCTTCTTAATCCAGTCATCTATTTTTGGGCATTTGGGTTGATTCCACATCTCACAGGAAGTATTTTAATCCAGGCCTTTCTTCACATTAGCATCACCTGCAGAAGGTCCATCCACGCCAGTGGTGGCGAGGGAAGAGATGGTGAGCCTTGTCTTTGGCATCCACATGATGGTTGGGCAATACTGGTTCATTCAGCTGTTGATTTGGGGCAAGCTACAGGTCCTCTTAATTTTGGTTTCCTCATATGCTAAGTGAACATGACAAGAAAATGTTTTAACAGTTAAATGTTAAATATTTGGCGAGAATGTTTATGAAAGTTCACCGTTGATTTAACTATAGCACTTAGCACGTGCTGTGATACCAATTCTGTCTCCACTCAACCCAAGATTTTCTGCAAGCCTGTGCTGATCCAATTGAGGGACTGGAGAGATGAAGGTCTGTCTCCTTTTTATCAAGAATATAGTTTCTTGCTTAAAATTTTCAAGCAAACTGAGCTGAAAACAGGTCCCCCTTTCCTAGATCCTGATACCCTCTGGGTGACACGAGCCAGCTTTCCAGTGCCTGTGATTGTAGTGCCTCCAGCCTGCTGCTGTTCACCCAGTGCAGCCTGTGACTTGTGCTACCCTCTGCCTTTGCAGAGAAGACCAGAGCATGGAAATTAAAACTCCCCATGTCAAAAACAGGCATACAGTTCTTCAAAAGCTATACATCCCAAACAAGGCAAAGTGCAAGTAGATCTGCCATGGCAGGGTCCCTTCCTTGTTGCCACATACTGACAAGTTCAGCTCATTTTAGTTTTTAGCCATAATGCATATATGGTAGTACAAATATATGTTCTCTTATGGTTTTTAAAAAATGAAGTGGCTAATATATTATCTGAATTTTGCTTAACAATTGCACTATAAACTCAATTATTTTGATGATTATGTTTCTTAATTTCTCATAATTTAGTTATGTAACTCTATTGTTAAAGTCCTTTTTACTAAGTTTATAAAATTAATGCTCTGAGGCTGTTAAAGAGCAGAGAAGCTCTTAAAGCTGAAAAATGGAACAGAGTGGAATTTACTATCATTTTTAATAACCTTAATTTTATGATTCTGATTTTCATTCTGTATGAAC